TGTAAAAAATGAAGCACGTTTTTTTATGTGCTTGCGTGGTGAGTATTTGTAGCATGTGTGCTACAAATGAATGCAGATCTTTTCTTAAATTACAGCACGATAAGCTATCGCTTATCGCTTGAGCAAATACAAATATATAAATAAATTGTACTCTTCTATTTACTGTTCTCTACATTTACCCAACTATAATGGCTTCTGCTGCTGAGAAACCCAGAAATGTGAAAAGGCAGGGCTCAACAATAAGGACTGCCCAATGGCCCAGGGCCAGCGTGAGAGATGCTTGGGACAGTAGACAGAATCGTTGCTGGCCCGATCGGGGCAGTGCTGCCTTGTCACTAAATTTAAATAGACGGCAACATGACCGTAACATCAAATTATGAGGCTAAAAGAAAACGTCTGTTTCTAACGTTGTGGAAACATTTAAATGAGTACAGCACGAAAAAAAAATTTGAAGTGATGTTTTGCATAGTTTGTCGTCACTTTTAAGTCAGCCACCTTTTGTTTTGAAATAAAATACCTGCGCATTTTCCATACTGCTATGTTTTACTGCTAAATATTTTAACATTTTTCAAACATTTAAATTCTGCATTCACATACATTATTTTGTGACACATTATTTAATATATGTGGCTAATAAATAGCAATTAACTTTTTTTTTTTTTTTTTTTTTTTAAGCGGGGCCAGCGAAAATTTTGGCAGGGCAAGTAAAAATCTGAACCACTGGTCCAATCGGGCCAGTTGAAAAAATCTTTAGCGTTGAACTCTGAAAGGTTCATTTGGTAACTATTTTTATAGTCATCTTTATATCTGTGTATTTGTATGGAATTTGATAATATAAAATGATTTTGTTTGTTTCTTTATTTTTGTAACTATAGAAATATTTGACTTATGTCCATACTCTGTATACAACTAATATGTAATTTACACTAAAATGAATAAATTATTAATAAAAAGTAATGGAAAATGGTTAATGTAATAGGGCACAATTGATTCTATTACTAATTGCGTTGAACTTATTGGTAAACATTTTAAACCACACTGTAAAAAAAATCGGTAATTTATTTCCAGCAGTTAAAAAAAACGTAAAAAATCTGCCATTAAATTACAGAAATTTATAGTTAAAAGTAACAGCTATTGAATTACAGAAATTTATCAGAAATTTAAGTTTAAATTTAAAGTTTAATTTAAATTTAAGGAAATTTCTGTAATTTAATATCCATTATTTTACGGTAAATTTCTGTAATTTAATGGCCGTTTTTTTCCCAGCTGCCGGAAATAAATTTTTTACAGTGCACTAACAGTGTTGACAATAACAGAGTTGACATATTCCACCATTTAACTACAAACCAAGTTCCACAGGTGCATGTCTACAACACAATTTTATGTTTTCATAGTTTTTAAAACATTAATGAGAAATTCACTGAAATATTATTAACATAGTTGACATATAAAAAAAAATAATAAAACCAATTTTATTGCATTGCACATATATATATTTTTAACAAGAAAGGTGTGGAGCATCAAGGTCCCAAAAAGCGTAAAATATATATAAAATAAATTAAAATTAAAACAATAAATACAGTATAAATGATTATTAGTAGTATTTAAATCATACTAAACAAACATTGATTAGAAATTGTTAATTTTTTTTTTTTTTTTTGCTTTCTTGTAATGCATTTTACTATGTCCATTTGCTTTACTTTAGCTCTTTTTCTCTATAAGCTGTTGTTTCATGTGTTCTTCACAATATGGTCAGTCGTCAATTGAATGTGTTTTTCACAATATGGTAAGTCATTCATCTCGTTCATTCATTCATCTGACGTTAGCATGTAGATGGCAGTGGGCAGTACCCTCAATGTAATGCCTGCATTCCCACTGTGAGTAATCAACCTGCATGCACAAGATGGATGGCCCTCTGGAGGACAGGTCCATTTCATGAGATTACTCTTAGCTAATTAACCTCATTCCCAAACCCTCTGAATCAGAGAATTATAAATTGCCAGTGCTAAGCTTATACAGTATATGTGAAAACCTCCATAGCAGAATTCAAAAATGCTTCATTTTGATTCAAAAATTCATTGTTCTATATATATATATATATATATATATATATATATATATATATATATATATATATATATATATATATATATATTTAATCATAATGTTTACGTCAGCATAAGAAACTGTAATCATACTCCAGTCTGCTCTAATGTGATTTTTGCAGATGAATTGTGCCGTTCCAAAACTCCAGTTGATTAGTTGCAAGAGTTTTAGCAGATTGTAGGATGACAGATGTTTACATTGGGTGATAATAATCAACAAAGACGTTACATTACATTATTATAACGGATTAAGCTGCCATAAAATGACACTGGCTTGAAAAATGGTTACAGTGAACAAGCATGTAATGGATTTAATGAAATGACATTAAGTGCAGCCAGAAACTACGGGCGCTAAATCAAAATGATGAGGCTTGTTTAGTAATGCAGCTGTCGGCCGGCGTATACTCACATCTGAAGTCTGTTCAGCAGTGCAAGTGTGTGTGTCATGAAGAATCTTTTACAGACAGTCATTAAGGTGTCAGTATATTACTTACAGTAACTGGTATGTACCCTGATAGTATTTACATGCATATTTGTATATAGCAAATATGTTACATTTAAATATGTGTCTGTTTTGCTTTCATTTCAGATTTCCAAATTTTTAAATTCTAATGTTCCATGAAGTAACAGTAATCAGATCAGGATATTTACAGTAATTTTGTGAAATATATTGTGTTTTCAATTCCATGTTTCATTTACTGTTTTCAGCATCATTACTCCAGTCTCACACGATCCTTCAGGGGTTATTTAAATATAATTTAATGATCAGAAAATTATTTTTACATTATTGTTTTTGTATATTGTTTGTGATGATAATTGAACATCAGTATTTTAGAAGAACTTCTTAAGGATGACGCTGCTCATGTGACACTGAAGCCTGGTCGCTGACAATTCAGTTTTGCCATAGCAGACATAAATGAATTACAAATATAGTAAAATAGAAAACAGTTCATTTAAATTATAAACTGATAGCAAAGTTTGTTGACCAACTTTCATTTTTGCCGTGAAAGCCTAAAAGTCAAAAATGGTTAAAAATATGCAAATAGCTCATTTGAACATGACTTGGCACACTGTTAACACAAAGCATTTTCCTAGCATGTTTTAGCACATTGCATTATTCATTTAGAGCATTGATAGCTCTAAATAGCTCTTAATTAAGTAGCATGCTTTGAGTATTTCTAGAGTTATTAGCATTCATTTACATCTTGTTAATGTTAACGTTTTCAGTGCTTTGCTGGCATTATCGCACTTTTGAGGTTCATTTCATTGCTGCTTGCAGCTTTGATTCATCTCATTTTTAGGGTTTAGAATGGCATATGCATGCTGCTAGCATGTTTTAGTACATTAATAGAGTTAGGATGTTTGTAGAATGTTTTAGTGTATTGTTATTATGAATTGCAAAAATTGATAGCATTAATTGGCATCTGAAGATATCAATTTGTGGATATACACTCGCCGGCCACTTTATAAGGTACACCTGTACAACTGCTCGTTAACTTAAATTTCCAATCAGCCGTTCACACGGCAGCAACTCAATGCATTTAGGCATGTATACATGGTCAAGACAATTTGCTGCAGTTCAAACCGAGCATCATAATGAGAAAGAAAGGTGAATTACTGTAAGTGACTTTGACCATGGCATGGTGTTTGGTGCCAGACGGGCTGTTCTGAGTATTTTAGAAACTGCTGATCAACTGGGATTTTCACACAAAATCATTTCTAGGGTTTACAGAACATGGTTTGAAAAAAAGAAAATATTTAGTGAGCATTTTAGCAATTCCCTTGTTGATGCCAGAGGTTAGAGGAGACTGGCCAAACTGGTTCTAGCTGATAGAATGGCAACAGTAACTCAAATAACCACTCGTTAAATGGTGTGCAGAAGAGCATCTCTAAATGCACAACGTCCAACCTTGAGGCGGATGGGCTACAGCAGACCACACCGGGTGCCACTCCTGTCAGCTAAGAACAGGAAACTGAGGCTTTATTTCTGCTGCGACTTTCGGAAGGTAGGGTCAGAAGTTAGCATCAACAACATGAAAGCATGGATCCATCCCGCCTTGTATCAACGATTCAGGCTGGTGGTGGTGGTGTAATGGTGTGGGGGATATTTTCTTGGCACATTTTGGGCCGATTAGCACCAACTGAGCATCGTGACAACATCACAGTCTACCTGAGTATTGTTGCTGAACATGTCCATTCCTTTATGACCACAGTGTACCCATCTTCTGATGGCTGCTACCAGAAGGACAACATGCCATGTCATAAAGTGCAAATCATTTCAGGCTGGTTTCTTGAACATGACAATGAGTTCACTGTATTCAAATGGCCTCCACAGTCACCAGAACTCGATCCAGTAGAGCACCTTTGGGATGTGGTAGAACGGAAGATTCGCATCATGGATGTCAGCCAACAAATCTGCAGTAACTGTGTGATGTTATCATGTCAAAATGGACCAAAATCTCTGAGGAATATTTCTAGTACCTTATTTAATCTATGCCACTAAGGATTAAGGCAGAAGAAGGACCAACCTGGTACTTAGGTGTACCTAATAAAGTGGCCGGTGAGTGTACGTTAAATGTTCTGTGGTATTTATGTGTAAGATTACAATGAATGTCTGGATTTTTTTATCATCCAATTTATGAAGTACAGCCTCTGTTTAGCTTGAAAAGTTATACCACAAAAATTCAGAGCTGTCTCAAGTAGTGAGCCAAGTTGTACAAAAGCTTAAAAGCTCAAGCAAACCTAATAATCTTTAACAATAGAAATATCTCGTTGTTGAATAAAACAAATAAATATAATCTTGGCGAGACTTTTGTGTGACTTCTTTCTCTAGGTTTTTCATGCTGTAAATAATCATACAATCTCATTCTAATTCATATTTTATTTATGTGTTAGGCAAAAAATCGAGACCAGATTATCGCCCTTCTGAAAAAGCAGAGGGATGAACGAATTAAGGTAAGAATTCTAAAGTACTTGTCCCCATTAGGTTAAAACATGCACTCCTGTCTTTCTATTCAGTTTGGATCAGCCTAAAGCTCATCTCAGGTCTTCTGCTTACACAGCTATTGCATATTTGGATGCTGCAGGACAGGTTCCTCAGACAGCCAAGTGTTTTATTTCTCTCCATTCATTAGAGTGCTCTCTTTCCCTTCCTCAGCACTTTTTCCCCAGAGCCTCAGCATTTCTTAGGGCATCCTCCCCTATAGAGGAGGAGCAGAGGGGAGGGTGGGCTTCCTTTACACTTTGATGTATCTCTGGGGAACAGCCTGATGATTATGGGGTGGTGGTGCTTTATCCAACCCCTGGTTTGTTAATATAGTATATCTGGAACGTTATAGCCTAAATTCTAAATATATTAAATTAATATTTTTCCTCAACATTCTACAATAATTACCCCTTAATGACAAAGAAAATAAAGTTTTTTTTTTTTTTTTTAATCTTTGAAAAAGGAAAGAGACATCATGCACCATGTCTTTGCTCATCAAGGTTGATGCACCTTTGGCACAAATTACAGCCTCAAAAATCTGTGCAAATGATTCTGCAAGCTGGGCACACCTATTTTGGGCAGTTTCTCCCATTCTTCAATGCAGTACTTCTCAGGCTTAATCAGCTTGGATGCACTGCATTGGTGCACTGCTATTTTCATATTAGGTTCAATCGGGTTCACATCTGGGCCACTCGAGGACATTCAGATACCACTTTACTAGAATCAATTAGGTGTTAGTTGGGAACTGGTTCATCCGTTGTGTCTTCTAAGAACTGCTTTGCCTTTCCACCATTTCGAGAGCCACCATAGAGCCAGGTATTAAGTCACTGCATCTAAAACATCTTTACGAGTCAAAAAATTCCTACCTGAACCAGATGAGACCTGTAAATGTGCTTAACAATACCAACCCGGACCCATATGTTATTTGAAAATGAGACCTAAACCTATGCAGACCCAAGAAGTGACTTAAATGTACCAGATAAACACCTGACTGCATCCGATCAGCTGCTGGCTTGGGGGAAGAGCATTATTCATTCATTCATTCATTTTCCTTCGGCTTAGTCTCTGTTTCAGAGGTCGCCACAGCGAAATGAACCGCCAACTATTTCAGCATGTGTTTGACACAGCGGATGCCCTTCCAGCTGCAACCTAGCACTGGGAAACACCAATATACACTCATTCTGTCACACACATACATAAACTTTGGACAATTATGCTTACACACTTCACTTATACCTTGTCTTTGGATTGTGGTAGATCCCAGAGCACAAAGAGGAAACCCACGTGAACACTGGGAGAACATGCAAACTCCTCAGAGAAATGCCAACTGGCCCAGTTGGGACTTGAACCAGCGACCTTCTTGCTGTGAGGCAACAGTGCTAACCACTGAGCCATCGTGCCACCCCCACTATTTATTTATTTATTTATTTATTAATTTATATTTGATCATTGTCTATAATGTTTTATTTTTATATTTGATCATTGTCCACATTGATGTTTACATTTTTGTTTCAAAGGCAATGACTCTGCTTCTTGAATCACTGGTGAGTGTGGTGTTACTTGAGTCTGATCAACTCTGGTATTACACAAAGACCCGATATATATTATATAGTATCCTTTGCCTTCTTTGCTGTGTACTTAGTTTCATTGTCTTGTTGAAAGATGAACTGACTCTGCATTTCTGCATTCATCGTTCCTTAAATCTTGACTATTCCACCAGCTTCTGCTGTTGGAAAACATTGCTACTGTAGGAATGGGTTTGGCTAGGTGTTGGAGTTGTATCTGGTTTTCTCCAGACCAAATCTCCAGACCAGATACCTATTGGTAAACTCAGGTAAAGTTGGTAAATAGATGGGCTGTCATGGAGTTTGGCTATTCTAACATACAAGACTGATTATAGTGCTGCAGAGATGGTTGTTCTTCTAGAACAGGGGTGCCCAAACTTTTTCATTTGAAGGACATCATTGAGAGCCGTGGGCCGAAGATAAATACACCAAACTATTTTACGTGGGTAATTTCCTAATCTATTTCATAATATTTGAGAATCACTTTGAGTCATATTAACTAATGCAGTATCCCTTTTTTAAACAATAACTTATGGTAATAAAAGCATAAACAATCACATAACACAGTGGAGTGCAATGCTGAATACACTGGTCAAGCACCAATACCTGTGCATTGTCCTCTAACTGTGCGGTGACTGTTTGTACATTTTAAACTCAATTACAGCATTTACTTTGAAACGTTTAATTTTAGTTTAACAGTAAAACAAACAAATCAAAATTGCATTAAATTTGAAATTACAATCTTTAAAGCATCCCTATCATTCAAGCCTCTTTTCCTAGATGGGATGGTGGGCCAAATCAAAGGTTACCACTAACTTTGGCCCACAGGCTCTAGCTTGGGCATCTCTTTTTCTAAGGTTCTCCTCTCTCCACCGAAGAATGCAGGAGTGAATGACCATCAGGTCCTCCCTGACTAAGCCCCTTCTCCAATGATTGCTCAGTTTGGCCTTGCTGCAGGCCAGTCCTATTTTTAATGTCCACTGTTAACTGTGGACTTTAGGGTGGAAACAGGACGCACCTGAGGGCATTAGGGGCCTTGCAAAGGCTGGAATTATTTGACTACATGTGATTATTAATATTATTTATTATTATTATTATTATTAGTATTATTATTATTACTATTGCTTTATTTATTTTTTGAAGATTCAAACATTCAAAACAAACTTGTTTCACTATGTCATTATGAGTTAAAGGCATCAGATGATAACCGGTTTCAAGGCTTATCGCGGTGTGGCAAAGTCAAGGTTTTAATACCGCTGAAATTTCTGTTATACCGTTCACAAGGTATAAGTAAGCTTTTTTATGTGTTTAAAGGAATTAGTGTTTACTACTCCAAAATATTATCAATGTTTTCTTGAAATAAAATAAATCGTGTTTAATTGTGAAAAGAAATTGTTGTTTTTTGTTTTGTTTTACCCAAACATTTTAAATGAACATATTTTAGAGTAGTATTTACAATACCGTGATAATGTGAAATCGTAGTATTTTTATCCAAGATGATCATACTGTCATAAACCTATACTGGCTCATGCATAAATGGGTTATTTTTTTGTAGAATGAATCCTGTCCATTTTGTAAAAAGGCTGTAACAAAAGAAATTTGAAAATAAATTTGATTACTTACCAGATTCAGTGTAGTCCAAAACGCATTGTTGAAACACATTGAGGGAATTTATATGTTTACATTTTTACCCTAAAGGAGTTTGTGGAGGATAAATAGATCAACAATTGGCCATTTACCTAACATCTATTTATTAATCCAGTCTTGTATTTCGGTGTTTCAGAATATGGTTTGTTTTTCTTTACTGTAATTGTGATTTGTTTATAATTGGAAGATATACAATAAATGATCATGTTAACAAATGAGAGCTTGCAGTTTTACCATGTCATTTGTTTCCTTTGTCAATAAAGTCATGCAGAATAAATACAGGTTGTCTTTATATTCTCAACAGAAAGAGATGATTGCCTACAAGCACAAACCAAAAAAAGGAAAACTAGAAGAAAAAAGGTATGTATTTTAACAAAATGTTCTCTCAGAGACAAGCAAGTTACCCTAACATAATTTCATTTAGCAGGATACTTCTCGCTGTATCTTTCATGACTTAGCGTAATAAACTTTCTATAATTAAAGGTGATGGTATAGTGCAGTGTAATACTGCGTTCAATAAAGTAATAGTAATTGTGTGCTTAATAGTAATTTACTGCTGTGGACTGCATGAGGGCTGCAATTTCACTGATTCTGCTACTGTAAATCACATTCAATTATAAAAAGGAAAACCATATGGAGTTCAGTAGTATTTAAACAGGTTTTCTGGTAAAGGATGAAAAAAATGGTTTGTCAGCTTAACAGAGAGAGGAAATACTGACAGTTTCTAACATTTTCATTATTATATGGATTCCCAGCCTACAAAAATTGATTTGCAGGCCCAGTGATGAAGGGTTATTGGAAAAGCAACTTAGGCTTATATTGAGGCTCTGATATTGATCTGAAATCTGTCTGATCTTTTCTGCTTTGAACAGACGCCTCAAACCTGCATTGATTACCTGTCCTATTATCCAAAACAATTCCCTTGCTGATGAATGCGTCATTGCAAAATCCCTTACTTAATGTCACATAGAGAGACTTTCATTAGTCTGTGTGGTAGATTGGTTTCTAGCATTAGTAAGTTAAATGTGTAGGCATGACACATTTTACAATGATGCTCAGATGACCTTTGTTGCTGAATGCTTTTAAAAAACTATAATACATATATAAAATACAATTATAAAATACAATCAAAGTACAATGCTGTGTTCAATAAACCAAGTGGGAAAAAATATCATTGCGCCGATTCCAGGTCCAAGTGCTCTATCAGGCTATACACTCACTGGACAGTTTATTAGGCACATCTTACTAGTACCGGGTCGGACTCCTTTTGCCGTCAGAACAGCCTTAATCCTTTGTGATTCAATAAGGTACTTGAAATATTCCTCAGAGATTTTGCATATTGACATGATAGCATAACGCAGTTGCTGCAGATTTGTAAGCTGCACATCCATGATGCAAATCTCCCGTTCCACCACATCCCAAAGTTGCTCTATTGGATCGAGATCTGGTGACTGTGGTGGCTATTTGAGTACAGTGAACTCATTGTCATGTTTAGGAAACCCAGTCTGAGATGATTCGCACTTTATGACATGGCGCGTTATCCTGCTGGATGTATCCATCAGAACAGGGCTCACCAATATTGGTCCTGGAGGGCCGGTGTCCCTGCAGGGTTTAGCTCCAACTTGCCTCAACACACCTGCCTGGATGTTTCAAGTATGCCTAGTAAGACCTTGATTAGCTTGTTCAGGTGTTTAATTAGGGGTGGAGCTAAAATCTGCAGGACACCAGCCCTCCAGCAACAAGTTTGTTGACCCCTGCATTACTAGATGGGTACACTGTGGTCATAAAGGGATGGACATGGTCAGCAACAATACTCAGGTTGATCATACCTGCCAACACTCTCGTTTTTCCCGAAAGTCTCCCGTATTGTTCAGTCTCCCGGAAAACTCCCGGAGTTCCACCTATCCCTCACAACCCCCCCACAATTGAGTTGCTGCCATGTGATTGGCTGATTAGAAATGTACGTCAACAAGCAGTTGGACGTGTACCTAATAAGTGTGTAGGGAGGCTCAACAAATAGTACTTATAATTGGTCAGATAGTACTGTATTACTTTTGAAAATCATGATTGCTATCCCTAGTTGTGTCAACCTAGAAAATAGCTACTTTTAGTGCTCACTACGAAGTACAGAGGAGTCAAACTTTTAAATAATAAACTTATTGAAACATGTTGGTCATTTTTGAGGGAGATGCTAACGGTCTATTCAGACTGAAACATAGGCTCATTCTGAAAATGTAGATGAACATATGGCTATATTTCATCTTTAAAATTAACACTATGGAGCAGTATGACGCCATTCTTTTATGCGCTTACATCCGTGTGGACAGCTCTTTTGCTTTTACCAGTTTGTCCAGTAGCTCGTCGCATACGTCGGAGGATTTGACATGCAGAGCGGAGTTGACCGTGACAATGGAGTTCCAGAAGGGTTCCAGAAAGCATGTAAGACAAAAACAAAAGCCAAAATATAAAACAAACAAGTAAATAACAGAGTAAGAATATTGTAAAAATCTGAAAAGTGGTAAAAATCAGGCTGCAGTTAGGGCTTTTCATTTTCTGAACTGCTTTTTTGAACACTTCGGTTCGGTCGCGAGAGAAATTTGAGATTTCAAAAAGCGTACACAGCAGCCTCTGGCAGATTCGCAAAAACAAAAACTGGAATAAAAAAGGGTAGCTTCTGGGATGTATTTGGCATTCTCCAGAAATGTATATAGGGGTATGTAATCGAATTCAGAGGTTTATGCTAAACAAAGCTGTGTGCTGCCAGATGTGAAGATCCGCTAAATGGATTTATAAAATGGTAAAACTCAAATGTTTAACATGAGGGGACTTGTAAAATTTGCCTTTTTTTTAAATAATTGGTTCATTGTTACTTTAAAGTCTTTTATGTGTGTTCTGTGTAGATTGGCTCCAAAGACACTTTCATCAGATGTGGATGAAGACCAGAAAGAAGTTCAGAAGCTCCAATAAAACACACTAATAAGATGAAGTCTTTTTCCAGTTGGCAATAAATGATCCACATAAACTCCATCTCAGCAAATACTTTATCTTTCAAAATTCATAGATATGTTCTCCCAACTGTAGCCAACAAAAGAGAAGTGTCTCAAAATAGAAGCTGTGGTTTAACATATTTACAAGCTAAAATACTTTTTTAAAATGCATTTTTTTATTTCATACTTATGTATTTTATATTATCATAACTTAATTAAATAATACAAAAATAACACTAATAACATGAATATTTAAAATCATTTAACACTTCTAATATATTAGAACAGTTTTTTAAGACTATTTGTGGCCCTGGACCACAAAACCATTAATAGGTGTCTTTTTTCTTTCATTTTAAAAAATATTTAAATGTATGCATAGCAAAATAAATATGATTTCAATATGTGATAGTTGATAAGTGATATATCTTGACCAATTTGTGTGCTACTCTTTAAATATATGTAATCCAAGGGCTTTAAAAATAATATTGAAAAAATCACCTTTAAATTTGTACAAATTAAGTTCTTATTAATACATATTACTACTTAAATTACGTTTTGATATTTAGAGTAAGACATTTAATATTGATATTGCCAAAATATAACCATGTAACATAAGATTTTGTGATCCAAGGTTACATTTCTGTCCTATTTAAAAATGTAATGTTTTAGTGAAATATATTGGTGTATTTAAGTTAATTTAGCTATTTAATATGAGTTTTTGTTGCCTTTTTAACAAATCTGTTAACTTGATACTGTTTAATTCCTTGTACTTATAAGCTATAATGTGATTTGTTCGTCACATAAAAGCTCACGGCTTCTTGGCCATTGTCAGTTGATGATGTATTATGATTATTGTGTGTGAGTGTGTCTGTGTGCGCGCGCGTCTTCGATCAGTCTCGCGCCCGAGTCTCGCATCTGCCCGTCTGTATGTTCATACAGATTTCAGTGGATAACCGGACAGGTGGTCAGTTTTCTCCTGCTGGAGCTCTCCCTTTGTTGGATTTGCATTTTTCATTTTTTCGGCATTTCGTGAAATTACTTTTGAAACCCACTGAAGTTTGATCAAAGGTGAACAAATGGATTTAATGAAGACATGTGGCTGCGTGCTGCTTTTATTCAGCGTCTCCGCGTGCGCGTCAAAGCTTCTAGGCGGTAAGTTGGACGTGAAAGAGGAATTTGTGTTCGACTGTAAAGTATTTAAAGTCTTACAATACGAATCTTATAATACTTGATCGATTTTTGTTTTGAAATCTATATTGTTTTGATAAGCTTTCAGGTATTTTGTCAAGCAGAAATGTATTCCAAAAGATTTTCAATAACTTTCTTTTTTCCACTCGCTGGTTTATAAACATTTCTCATGTAATAATAAACTTTAATTAAGGTGTATACATTTTGAAAGTGACTTTTTTAGACCATGCTTTAACCAGTGGCTGTTTTTTCTCCACCACTTGTAAACTCCATCCTCCCTGTGGCGCAGACATTTATGAGCCCAGAGGTATGTTCTGCCGCAGACACTAATGGCTTTCTGTAAATGAAGTGGTAGTTGATACTATGTGCATACGTTATATATAGAGAGAGAGAGAGATAAAGCTAGATTTACTCAAGCAATTATAATTGAAAAAATTCAAAAAGATTAAAAACGCTTTTACCACAATTCAAAAAGATAAAAACGCTTTTACCATGTAGCCTTTCTGTGCCTTTATATGCATGTGTGGTACTGTGATAATGATATAACATCATTATTTTAGAAAACTGAATGAATATAAATATATGAGACATTCTACCAGAAACGTATATCATCTGTCCCTGAAATAAAAACATAAATACAGTGAATAAAAAATATTTCATCCCAAAAAAGTCTACAATGAACTAATTTTTGACTTGTTCTGTAAAGGAATATGCCATTCATTTGGTTCTCAGATTTTTGTTCTTTATTAAAAACACTTTACAAATTTTACAAACCCTGTTATTGTGCTTGTCCTCTGCCCAATTGAATATACAGCTTTAATTATTTTTATTCTTAAAACGAAAAAAAATACTTAAGAATTTATAAATAAGAATAAATTATAAATAAATGCTACAAATGTAAAATACAAAGAAATTCACAATTGTCCTGTCACATTTGCATTAAAGTTACATGCGGTATGCTATATATAAGGCTATGATATAAATGTGACATCGACAGAGAAGAAGCTGACAGTGATGATTTTTAATGCTTATTTTTTTATGGTTTTATTTTATTTATTTATTTTTTATTTATTTTATTTTTTTGAGGATGATAAGCTTAAGTGAGGACCGGTCATGTTTTTATTAAGTGAAAATGTATGTTTCTGGTATATTGTACTATATGGGCCGTGAAGGAAAAATAGATTGCCATTTTTTTCATTTAGTTGACATTTCCGGAGAGTATTCATAGCGCTTCATTTTTTCACATTTTTTTGTTACAATCTTATTCCAAAATGGATAAAATTTATTTATTTCCTCATAATTCTTTACGCAATAACCCATAATGACAATGTGATTTTATTTATTTATTTATTTTTGTGAATTTGCTAATTTATTACAAATAAAAACCTGAAAAAACACATGTACAGTACATAAGTATTCACAGCCTTTGCTCAATACTTTGTTGATGCACCTTTGGCAGCAATTACAGCCTCAAGTCTTTTTGAATATGATGCCACAAGCTTGGCACACCTGTCTTCGGGATTTTTTGCCTATTCCTCTATGCAGGACCACTCAAGCTCTATCAGGTTGTAGAAAGGGATGGCGTACAGCCATTTTCAGATCTCTACAGATGTTCAGTAGGATTTAGGTCTGGGCTCTGGCTGGGCCACTCAAGGACATTTACCGAGTTATTGTGAAGCCAACTACATTGATATTTTGGCTGTGTGCTTTGGGTCATTGTTCTGCTGGAAGATGAACCGTCACCTCAGTCTGAGGTCAGGAGCACTCTGAAGCAGGTTTCATTCAGGATGTCTCTGTCCATTACTGCATTCACAGATGGTCGTCCATCTGTGAGGTTTTCCTCTCTCCACAGAAGAACGCTGGAGCTCAGACAGAGTGACTATCAGGTTATTCACCTCCCTGACTAAGGCCCTTCTCCCCTGATCCCTCAGCTTAGATGGCCGGCCAGCTCTAGGAAGAGTCCTGGTGGTTCCAAACATCTTCCACTTATGGATGATGAAGGCCACTGTGCTCATTGGATCTTTCAAAGCAACAGACATTTTTCTGTAAGCTTCATGGCAAAGGCTGTGAATAAATACTAATGTACATGTGATTTTTCAGGTTTTTAATTTTTGAAAAAATTTGCAACAATTTAAAAAAAAAAATTACATTGTCATTATGGGGTATTGTGTGTAGAATTTTGAGGAAATAAATGAATTTAATACATTTTGAATTGAGACACTAACATAAAAAATGTGCAAAAAGTGAAGCGCTAGAAATACTTTCCGGATGCACTGTACTTAACATTAACTTATTATTAATATAACCTTGCACTTTAAAATGTGATTATTTTTTATTATTATTATTGCCATAATTATGGTTTGCATTTCCAATTTCAACAGAGCAATTAAAAATAAATCAAAGTATTTTTTTTGATGCAATAATTTATAATTGTACGGTTTAATTCACAGAGGAAGAAAATGTGAATTAATTTTATTTTCTGCTGATAAATTGGAACAGTTGTCTTACTGATTCTTTATATTTGAAACTGTAACTTTCTGACTAATATGCATCAGTAAAACAGAGTTAAACTAAAAGTAAATCCAAGTTAAATACTCTTTCTAGTAACATTTTAAGCAATATAAAAACATTGCTTACACTAGTCAATGTAAAAAAAAAAAACATTAACAAAGTGTAATTCTACTTAAATGGCTTTTTTAAATCTTTATATCATTGTAAGTTTTATTCACCTTAACATTTATACAATAGAATAATAAAAAGGGTTATGATAGTTGCAAAGATTTTTTGGTCTTTCCTAACATCTCTGATGTGTTTCTCTAGGCCAGCAAATATGCAAACGTGGCACTGAGAAGCCCTGCTATAAAATCGCCTACTTCCAGGACATTCGACGTAAACTCAACTTTGAAGAGGCTAGTCGAGCCTGCAGAAGTGATGGTGGAGACCTTCTCAGTATCGAGTCTAAGACTGAGCAGAAACTGATAGAGACCTTCATCCATGAACTGAAGGCATCAGACGGAGACTTCTGGATTGGGCTGCGTAGGGATCAAGGGCGAGGCTATGAGGAGAATGGAAACTGTTCGTCTAAATACTACTGGATGGATGGAAGCCCAGCAACTTTCAGGTTGTACTTCTCAATGTTTTTTTAATAAATAAAAAAAAAAATATATATATATATATATATATATATATATATATATATATATATATATATATATATATATATATATATATATAAAAATTTTATACAGATTTCCTATATGTAAGTTGGTTGGTTGGTTGCAAATTTGGTTCGGAACTGAAAGATGAACCTCCTGAGATGCTCTTTTTGTTTTAAAAAGGTTGCAATATATGATATGCAATATAAACAATACACAATCTCATTCAAAACTACTAACAAACCATCCACTATGAAATAATTAGCATTCAAGTACATAAAAGGAAGGGATAAATAAATAAGCAATATGTATAACCACAGAAAGAAGTACAACAACATCTAAAGAAAAAAAAAAAGGAAAAGAAATATACAATAACCAAAGGTACACATTACCAGTACCAGGCTTGACCCTCTTTTTTCTTCAGAACTACCTTAATCGTTTATGGCATATGATTCAACAAGGTACTGGAAATATTTTGAAAACAAGATTTTGGTCTGTATTGACATGAGAGCATCAAGCAGTCCATGATACGGATACGAATCTCTCTTTCCATCACATCCCAAAGGTGCTCCAATATTACAATTGAGTTCTGGTGACTGTGGAGGCCATTTGAGTTCAGTGAATTAATTGTCATGTTCATGAAACCAGTCTGAGATGATTCGTGTTTTATGACATGGTGCATTATCCTGCTAGAAGTAGCCATCAGAAGATGCATACACTGTGGTCATAAAAGGATGGACATGGTCAGCAACAGTACTCTAATAATGGTTATTTGGGTTACTGTTGGGTACCTTCCATCAACTGGAACCAGTCTGGCCATTCTCCTCTGACCTCTGGCATCAACAAGTCATTTGCGCCCACAGAACGGCTGCTCACTAGATATTTTCTCATTTTCAGACCATTCTCTGTTAACCCTAGAGATGGTTGTGCATGAAAATCCCAGTAGATCAGCACTTTCTGAAATGATGTTGTATATTTAAAGGTATTTCTGTTTTAACTGTTGGAGAAAAACATTCATATAAAGATATACTTTCATATATATATATATATATATATATATTGGTATTTCTGCAGAAAGCTTTGTCAAAAATCTGTGGGGTTATGCAGAATTATTTTGGGAGTAACATAATCAAGGACTTAATATATGAAATAAAAAAATAATAGCTTTTAAACTTTTGCCCCATGCGCGATAGATTGTGCACCTCGACCATTAAAATAGGGCCCTAAAACTTTTTGTATCAAGACCTTCACCTTCTTTAGAAATTTCTAATATGAGATTTATTCCAAATCTCTGGCACCTCAACATATCATGACGTGTTAAAAAGATCCGCACAGGAGGATATGAGAGGAAAGATTCATGGGTTCAATCCCCTCAGGCCTAGTGCTACAATAATAGCTCTTAACTGATCAATAGCCTTCAAAACTTCTGTCCTTTTGCTAATTGCTATGTGTGTGTGTGTGGTGTGTATGATACAGAAACTGGCACTTTGATGAGCCTTCGTGTGG